TTTCTTGTTCTTTTTGAAAAATTGATCAAATTATAGTTTTGAAAGATGATCAGCATCATTGTTTGTGAGCTGATTAATATATATATATATATATAATACAGGGTGGCCCAAAAGTCACGCACTCGAAAAGAAATTGAATATCTCCATAACGGCTCTAGCAAACTGGCTGATTTTTTTACCACTAGTAAACGCATATTTACACTCCATATCCATAAAGACAAGGCGAGAGTGAACCCTTTTTTTAAGTGTCACTATTGACTTTAACCAAAAAGTTTTAATTTTTCACAGATAAAAAAAAAAACAATGTACTGGGTGTCGCAAAAGTCACTTTACCGAAAAAAAGTTCAATATCTCCATTACGGCTCGAGCAAACTAGCTGGTTTTTTTTATCAATGCTAGAGGCATGTTCAAGATTTATATCCATAAAGACATGCCTAGAGAGATCCTTTGTTAAGTATGTTGTTTTTTTTCATCTGTAAAAAAAAAGTAATTTTTTTTTGTTGCGATTAATAGTGATACTTAACAAAGGACTTCTCTAGGCATGTCTTTCTAGATATAAAGCTTGAACATGCCTCTAGCATTGATAAAAAAATCAGCTAGTTTGCTCTAGCCATAATAGAGATATTCAATTTTTTTTCGGGTGCGTGACTTTTGAACCACCCTGTAGTGCGTAAGATCTTCTGTAGATATCATGGATATGTAAAACAGATTTATTTGTCAATTAATTCAATAATTATAATAATAAGAATATTGAATTACGAAAAACGATTTTAAAAAAATGAAAGATAATGAGCGAATAGCAACAATGCAAAATAAAAATAGGGTGCCCGTAGAAAAAAAAATTCTGTTCGAAATGCAGAAATTAGAAAGTTTCTTACTCTGATTTTCGATTATCCTACAAAACAACTATAGTCTACCAGAGGTTTCTCATTTTACGTATTTTGCATTATTTTAATGATGGTAGAGAGCACATGTGAGTTCCATATTTCAGTCCCAAAAGGGCTGCTCTAACAAGCTTTTTTCTTTCAAGTCAATAATTACATTTGACAATAACAATGGTCGTTGGATTCATGAGGCAATTGATAAACAAGGAAAGAAAGTACATATTGAACGTTATGTTGATGATAAAGATCAACAACAAGTTGTAAGTTTATGTGATAAATAATCTCATACTTAATATTATTAGTTATTTTTATTACTGTTATTCTTTTAGGAATTATCATGTGGTAATGTTAAAGCTCACCGTCGATATAAACGAGTGGGATGAAAAAAAAGAGAAGAAGAGCGCAAAGCAAACGATTTTTTTTCTTATTTTTATTGTATTTGCACAAGAAGATAACTTAAATCCCAGAAAATTTGCATAAAAATAATATCACAAGATAAAAACGTGAGATATTGAAAGTTGAACAAGAAAAACACAATATGCAGTGATGTCGCTAGAAATTCTAAAATGAAAAGGCGTTCATTGGTGGTCTATACAGTGAAAAAAATCATAAAAAAAACCAGCATTTCAAGATATTGTTGAGGATTTTTTGTTTGAACTGGAAAGAAAGATAGATAAAATATCAATTCATTTTTACTGACAATGATCATCTTATGGACTTAAATAGTTGTCGACTACGAAAACGAAAAGAGAGAAAATATGATCCATGAACAATCGTTTTCGCGGCATATTTGTATCAAAGGTGAAAAACAATAATAGACATGAGATGACAAACCAAAGTGAAATTCTCAAATATATCTGATTGCTTGATATTCTGTTGGACTCGAAATCACTTTCTTATACAATCGGATGATACTTTCTTGACTTGAATTATTATTTTCATCGATCAAATATTCAAAAACTGTAGAGCGTACAATGTCCACATAATGTCATGATTTGCTTCTACGCATGCTCTCGCAAATGTTTTCTCGAAATGACTAAGTCAGAGTAAATACGTATCATATCTCATATCAATAACTACCTTTATTTTTTTTTCTCTTGGAACAAGAAAGAAAGAGAACGGATGAGAAAAATGGTAAGTTGTTTCAAGTAGATAAGAACGTAAAAAGTTGGAAAAAAAGAAGGCATTTTATTGTTTCAACACAGAAACAAAAATATGGCGTTCCCGTGTGCAAATCCAACGAAAACTGCTACCATTCACACAGTGAGCGATGAGAAATTCGAAGAAGTTTATAGACCTGATGAGTATGCAATTCAACTAGTAGACGACGGCCGAACATGTGAAAAGATCAAGCTTGGATCCTATGGATGTGCTCTTGGCCATTACTCATATTCGTCTGGGATTCATCGTATTCGAATAAGAATTGATTATGGAAGAGCATTTATTGGCATTCGCTCACGAAATATACTACCTGTGTCGGATGAATTTGCTTGGGGTCGCTATGATTGTAGTCCTTCTACGTACGGTTGGATTAGAGATTGTGGACGCATCTGCAATGGACGTTATATAAGTCTTGATGTGCAAAGAATTGAAAGAGACAATCATGTATTTACGTTGACATTGAATTGTGATGAATATCGATTGAGCATACTAAATGAAAATACTAACGAAAAAGACGAAATGGAAGTAGATATTACCTATGCTCCATTACCTTGGTGTCTCTTCGTTCAGCTTCCTCGAACGCGAGGTCGTCTATCGCTAGTGCAACCAACTTTTGATGAAGCTTCATCACTGACTTCAACAAAAACATCTTCGAGTATCGTAGTACCTAATATTCAACGTTATTTGACATGATATTCTATGTATTGTTCTCAATTCTAGAGAATCAAAATATAGAAAATGATAGCTCTGATACAAACACAAGTTCGCAACAAATTCCAACACCCGAGCTAAAACTTTCAACATCCCAAGGTAAGTGTACAAATTCGTGAATTATATCTATGCGTTTTCACCCAAGCTATTAATCCGAAAAACCGAAAAATTTTCGTGTACGATAACATGATTAGTTGTCAGAAGTTAAATTAGTAAAAGGTGAATGAATCTGTCTATAATATTGAACTTTCAATTGTTTCAGCTCTATCCATCTATGTATGTAGACTAGCAGTCAATTTTTTCACCGTTGATACATAAAAAAAAAACGTCTTGAATACAACATCGTTTTAAGATACCTTTCATTGATAGTAGGTTAGTGCAGCTTCCAAACTATGCCAATAATTCTTGTTGGCGAATACGTATTCTTCACAATCTTTTATTGCTATAATAAAACTTTGATTATATGAACAAAAAAAATTGCGAATAGATATATCTTAAAAATTCTTTTTCTTTCGACGTCGCAGAAATTATCTTTTTCAAAGTATGAAAAACTAGCTACTACTGTCTTAAATTATGACATAAATGGAGCTTGTCATCAATTGGATTAAAATGTGTATTAAATTCTTGAAAAATTATTCAAACTGTTTTCTTTTGCTGTCTTTATAAATATTTCCTCATATAAACTTTTAAAAGGTCGCAGTTTTGGCAACATCCTAAGACAGTAATTATACAAGTCAATTTAAAATGATTCAAAGCATTGAATATATTATCTTTCAGATGTTGCATCATCTACGATTCCAAAGAAGAGTCCCGCATCTATAGAGAAAGAAGTTAAAGCTGTGACGTGCAACGGTAATGCGTGTTCTAATTGTGGTAAATGTCGTGAATGGTATTATGATGGTAATATTGACCGTGATAACGAGCGTTTCGACCGTGGAGAGTCTTATGATATAGTCGATCGAAACCGTTGGCATCGTCGTCCAAATGGAACATGCCGTTATTTTTATTTCCATCATGTTGGCATTCTTGGCAAACATCATGGGCTTGATATTTGTCGTTGTCCATGACGTAGTACTAAAATTTGGTGTATTCAACATTTGCTTTTGAAAATCATAATTAATCGCGAAAAAAAAGATGAACAACAATCAAACTTGAATTTTCTCTTATTATTTGCTTATTTCTTTTCCTAACTAAGCGTTTTTTCTAATTGGAAAAGACAAATTACTGCGCATTAACAAGTTTATTGTGCTAGGCTTTCCCTAAAACAACATTGATTGTGCATAAGAAATTATAAATGCAAAATGTATGTCAACTTGATGATGCAATAGGCCAAGAAACAGAAGAACAACTGTGAGTGTGGGTGTGGGTATCGATCTTCTCTTCAATCACAGCCACAGCCGTACTCCACACCAACACCCTCTTTTCTCAGGAAGACAGCAAGAACTGTTAAGATTATACATAAAATAATTTCTCATAGAAAGTAGCCCATTTCTTCTGGCCATTCGATAATATCAGCTGCAATTTTGTAACAGTGATATAAACATCAGAGTTACTATGGAGTACCATGTCCATGAGTTTGTTCTTCATAGCAGTGCTTTTTTCAGTTATCGCCTTCTGATTGGTTTGCATTCTGACGAGGTGTAATTTTTTACTTGCCGTGGTAAATGACCGTGTTGTGATAGCTTCATACAGATGATTGAATATGTGTTCCCATTAAAAACAATATGCAATTGGATAAAGTTAAAAACAACAATTCATTAAGTGATGAAATAAGAAAAGGAATCCATCGTCTACTAAAACAATAATCTTTTCTGCAGCGTCAAAAATTAGTCACGCAGAGTTTCGTCCATTTTAAAAGAAAAAAAATGCAACTATAAAATAATGTGTTCTTTGTGTATTGTAGAGTTTTTCACGCTGCATATCGTGGTATATTTTGTTGTTTTTTTTAATAGAGCATATAATGTTGTGATAAAATGAAATGAAAAAATTAACTTTCCTTTGTCCATGAGAGACTGTTTTTACTTGACTTGATTAAGCAAGAAAGTAACAACTGAGGTGAAGTGATGAGTTATCTGAAAAATATTCTACTCAAGTGAATAGTGACTTGCTTTATCAGTTTCTGCTCTATGTGAAAACTAACAGCATCTACTTTTCTTATAGATTCATACGCCTTATATTTCATATCGACAAACATTTTTACAACAGCGTTGAAAAATTGCACTGAGTTTTGATGACATTATCAAAAGAAAAACATTGGAACAGGAAGAACGGAAGAAAAAAAAACGAGAAATTTAACGAGAAAAAAAAAGCAATTCTTCTCTTCACTTTATATTGTGACAAAAAAACACACATGTAACATTATTTGTCATCACTATAGTAAAAATAAAAAACATGGCAATGGCATCTCCATCCACTACAGTCAATAGTGCAACATTAGAAAATCTTGTTAAATGTGCTGTATGTTTAGATTATTACAATGATCCACGCTGCCTTCCATGTTCACATACGTTTTGTTATCAATGTATTGAAAAATTGTGTGAAGATGGAATGGGTCAATGTCCTATGAGAGATAATTCGATTATTTTTCGACATACAATTGATCAATTGCCAGTTAATCGAATAGCTAAAGATCTTGTGGAATGTATCAAGAAATCTTCTTTATCAGGAAGAAAATGTGATCATTGTAAACAAATCTTATCCGAATTTATCTGTGAAACTTGTTCAAAACATTATTGTACGATATGTCTTAAACTTGAACATGATATTAATCAATTTCAAACTCATCAAATTAATATTATTTTTAATGAGAATTCAAAGAATTTCTGTCCAGAACATACTGAAGAAAAACAAAAATATTGGTGTACTCTATGTCAACAAATTGTTTGTAGTGATTGTCTTTTATTTAAACATCAACAACATACATTTATTACATTAGAAGATTTTGCACAAAAAACTAAAATTGAACTTAATTCATCTATGCAACAAATTATCGAAATGAAACAAAATCTTGAAAAACTACGTCACAAAACAACAGAGGCTTATCGACATCATTGCCATACACATATTAAAACAAAGAATCGCATTAAACAGACTATTAAATATTTACAAGCACTTTTAGATGCACGAATGGAATATTTAATTACTACAACTACAGAAAAATATCTCACTCAACAACAAATTATTCGACAACAGAAAACTAATGTTGAAGAACATTTAAAAATTGTTTTAATCAGAGAATTATTTCTAAAACACGTATTAAATATTGAAGATCATATCAAATTAATTCAAATGAAAAATGATTTAATCACTTACAATCAATTAATTACAGACCAATATCAACAATTAATTGAAGGTTGTTTTTTTGACCTTCAACATTTTAATATCCAAGATGATCTAAAAAAAATACAACAACTAATTGAAGATTTTGGTTTCATGTCAATAGAAACATTTTTAACTAATTGTAACGATATTCAACCATTACTAAAACTATCAGAATTATCGGGTGAAGAAAAATATCAACCATTTCAAGGAATTTATGCTTATGGATATCGCTTTCATTTAACTGCACCATTACAAATAAATGCTGTACGAGTCAAAGTTGCATTATTCGATCAGAATTTAACGCTATATATCTTAGATTATAATGATATTCTCATACAGAAAGAAATTATCCAAACAAATGACACAAACTCTACGACATTGAAATGGTTAACTATCCCTATTACATGTCAAATTCAGCATAATTATTATATTTTTATATGGACACAGCCTTGTCAACAGTCTATACCATTAATTGCTTATAGAGACTCTACCAATAATTTACGTCAAATAAATAAACAAGTTTCGATTAGGAGTAAACGCGCTCAAATCAATAAATCGACAAATATCGATATTAATACTAAGTTCGATGTGCTTTACGATGCACTTTTAAATAATGATGAACGAAGTCAAACAACAATATCAGCCATAGAAATGATTTTAGACATTTAGACTGTATATAAATATTACAATTTTTTTAACTTTGTACAATATATAAAAAATGAAACAAGCATAGATAAGTCTATACTATTACAAAAATATAGCAACTGATAGCATCAATCCTTTGTTGTACGGCTAAATAGTTCATATAATAAGAATAATTTCAATTATTCTGATAATTTAACTTACTGAGAAAAATTAGACAAAGAAAAATGATGATGATTAATTTCATGATCGGTTTTTTATTACTTGTCGAAGAAGTGAATGAGAATCTGTACAAGAATTACTCAAATTTATAGTCAATTAGTAGTAAGCGATTGTTGACATCAAACATTTATAAAGAAGAAAAAGACGAAGAAGCCTAATTTTTTTTATAACGTTGCATGCCTCCTTTTTTTCAGAATTAATTTACACAATATTTGCATTTTAGCAGTAAAGTGTACGATCGAATAAGATCATATATCTGTCAATTCTTTCGTTTTCATTTTCAATATTTTAGAAATGTAAAGCATGAAATGCTATATGCTTCTATTTATTTGTTTCGCTTTTTTTTATGAGGTCACTGAATGTTCTAGTAGTTGTGATTGTTTTAGATCACGTTCTACAGAGCTACATATTCATCAATAGAATGTTCGAAAAGTTCGGATGAAAAAGAAACATGAACATCTCCTTAAACTATTCAAATAATTTGCGCGAAGTTTTTATAGTTTTCTTCGCTTATAAATATAATACACAAACCTATTCTTTTCAAAATATCTATAAAATAAGTCGAATGGCGACAGATCAGCTAATTCTGATGTCTATTAACATGAATCATCTCTTTTATTGCACTTGTTTGGAGAAATGTTCTTTAGAAATTGATAGACTTTGCGACTAGAACAAAATAAAAAGTGTCTTAAAACTATAGTAAGTTATTTTTTCATATTGATAATATTATCACCAAAAACAATTGTTGCAACAGTCGATCTTTTTACTTTGTACAACAAACGTTAACTTATAAATACTACACAACAGGTCCGATAGTTTCATGTGGATTCCCTGCACTCTAGCTTTTCAAAGATGGCAGGATTTTTTTCGATTGAGTATTATATCCAAACTATTTAATTTTGAAGAAATCGACTATTACAATAGGACATCTTAAAGACAATTAAAGATGAAACATTTGAAGTTTTTATTCACATAGAGACTATTTTACATAATGTCTTGATCAAAAATATCACAGAAGACTATATTAAAATGAACATTTTCGTCCTTTACTATTTTTTGAAAAAAAATAAATATAAAAATCAATATTCTGTGTAATAAAAATGAAATAAATAAAATCATTTCGATGAAGATTTGTTACACTTCTATCACAAAAACTCATAGATTCATGCACCTCTGTAAAACAAAAAATTAGCAATTTTTTTAAGTTGTCAACTTTCTTCTGTTGACAAACAAGCGGTTATTACAATCCCTGTGAGGTTAAAATGTGAAACATGATAGAGTTTCTTATATATTGTATTTCTGATCTTTTTTTCACTAATGAGGCAGATAAAATGGATTATATTATTGCAACATTCAAATGGTATTAAATATTATGATAATTATCTGAAAGAGTGTGGGTGGGTGTGATTGAAAGGCGTGGTGTGAGTATGGGCGTGGATGTGTGAGTATTGGTATGAGAGCGCATATGAGTCTTCTGTTCATCTGCATTCCTCACACATCCCATGCCCACACTCACACCCACACCCTCAGATATCTTAATACAGATAGTAGAAAGACATCACAGTAAATATGAGTCCTAGAAGATAATAGACAATAAAACGAAACATTTCAAAACCAATTGTAACACATAAAATCATAAAAATTAATAGTAATAAAAAAGCTTTCTTTTGACGTGGAGTTGAATGTACCACTGAAGATGAACGTGCAGCCGAATTTATCTCTTGATTTTCGAGTAAATTCATCTGACTTTGATACATTATTGATGTTAAGAATGATGCTCCTGATGCTTTCAAATAAATTATTGTCTCTTCACGTAATACAAATTTTGGGTTTGAATTGATCATTTGGCATAATAGTTTAGAATCCGATAATTTATTACTAAGAATGAGTGGTTTTAGATCATCAAAAAAATGATCAAAGATGATTTTGATCTTATCTTCATGTTCGGTGAAAAATCTCTGAAATAAATGTTGTGTTTGAGCCTTATCATTGTTAGTAAACGGTAGATTAAATGTGCGTTTGATAATATACATAATAAATTCATCATAAAAAAGGTGTTTTATGTCATTAACAATGCCAGGATACTGTCGATAGAAACTATCGATTTTAGTCTTCAACCTAGCAGGAGCTGGTATTGAAATAGGGACATGGAATGATGTATATAAATATTCAAGAAATGAGCGTATGAAATCATGATTATTCAAATCGGCTATAATATCTTTTAACTTAGTTTCGAACTCACGGATAAAAACAGAGTTATTTTCCATGTGTCCGATAATGGAATCTAAAATACAAAATCTTAATATTAATTTTGTTTTTTATCACATTTATCACATATCTGATCTTCTACTCGTGAAAAAAAATACTCGAAATACATTCATTTTTTAGTATTATTCGACGAACTTCAGATTACAAAATACAAATCTAAACGAGGAAACATAAAATAATATATTAATATAAGAATAAACCACATTATAAACGAAATCGAATAATATGAATTTACACTTTAATACCTACCTTCTGTCTATATAAAGAAAATATAAAGAAATAATTTAACTGTTCTGTGATCACGCCTTTTATAAATGAAAGTGATACCTTAGTCATTTCATTGATATGGCAACCATATTGATTGCAAGATCATAATCTTAAGGATGCCAAAAGGCCAACAAATAACCATAACAAAAACGCAATGAAAAATGATGAGTAATTAATCCTTTGGAGACGGTCGTGGTATATATACCACTTCGAGTATATCTCAAAATTTTGGTATGGTATATATGCCAAATCAATCAGAACTGAGTGAAAGTAGTCTATAGAATCATTTTCCTTTGTTGAGTTAGGAACAATTGACTGCTTCAACGCTTATCGTACCCTAAAACACTTTTGATAATGATTTTTGATTGAATAAACATCTATTTTCTTTCTTATAAGAAAACTATCTTTTCAAAAATACCCCGTCCCCAAAGGGTTAAGAAAAATTGCAATATTTTTTCTGCGATTGTACGTAATGGGAAAAGACTGATAGTTTTTTTTGTTCGGCCACAGCAACGGATACACAGAAAAGGTAAAGTTGGCTTTTTCCTTCATCAAGTTGCTCGTTCTTGCAGGCGGGAGATGGTATTTTTTTCTTTTCGCACACAATGTATTCTTCATCTGTCTACGACGACGTTTTTTTAAACGTGAGTCACCTTCGATTGGGAATGTTATATCAAAGAGTGAAAAAAGTTTTACTCTAAATTAACGGTGTAATCGATAAGATTTTTTCATTTAGAAAATTATTTTCGAATGGCTAACGTAGAAGAACAATTACAAACTCTTCAACGCCAATTAAATGCTTTTCTTGAAAAAAGAAGAGAAATAATCAATTTTCTCAATCATTGTGCCAATATACTAGATGAACACACCAAGAATGTTAAAATTACCAAGGTTGTAACTGGTAGTATCGGGATAGGTGGCACACTCATCAGTTTAGCAGGAAGCGCACTTGCTGGTCCACCTGGCGGCTTATCACTTGTATTCACCATTGGTGGTGGCGTCTTGACAGCAACAAGTGGTCTAACTCATTTGGGCTCTGATCTTGCCGAACGTATTTTAACGAAATTGCATTTGAACAAGTTGCAGAGGCTTTGTCAAACTGATGAGAAAAACTTTATTCAGTTAAATAATGATTTAAGGCAATTTATGACAAATTTACGCAACAACACATTTCGTAATCACATCTCCTCCAGCATGCAACGTAATTTTTTCCAAGAATCGGCGTGTTTAACTAATTTAGCATGTTCAGTCGTTCGTATTACACGTGTAGCATCATCAACAGGTCGTTCAATTCGTGTTTTTAGTGCTGCTTCAGCCGTTTTAGGCGAAAGATGATCATGTTATTATATATCTAGTACATTATATTTTTTTTCAGGTATTGTCACTTTGCCACTTCAGATAATTGATCTTGTAATGGATGGACATGCATCACATCAAAATCAACCATCTAATGTGTCTGGTCAACTTCGTCAACTTGATCAAGAACTACAGACTCAAGCAGACAATGTTAAAATGTATGTTGAACACAGGATCAACCAGTCTTTGGAGAATTATCAATTCCTTCAGAACGTCCAGAATAATCAGCAGCGTATCTATTGGATATTAGTAACCATGGCATTCTTTCTAGTTTTCATCTTCATCAAAAAGTATTTTCAGCTGGCTTTTTAGTTTCTTTTTATTGATACTGTAGTATGGAAAATACAGTTATTATATTGCTATCATAATCGCGTGTTATTTCATGTTTTTCGGACGAAGTTGACAGATTTTTGGATAGGGAGAGAAATTTTGTTGACACGCTCTCACAATAATTTCTTCGCCAATGAAACTTTTTTTTTCAGCTACTTCACTACGTAGTTTTTCTATCCTTATTGTAAACAGACTTATGATTACAAATAAATATTAATGCAAGTTTTAATCCTATTGAAACATTTAACAAAAACAAAAGTACAAAATCATCTTTTGAATCCTACACAAAAACAGATGTTGGGGTGTGGGGTGAGAGTGAATGTTTTTCAAAAACACCAGTTCTCTTAACTCAAGATAAAATCATTTGTTCTTATTTTAAATAAATTAAAGTAAATTATTGAGATTTTCTCCTTGAAGACAACTGAAAGTAATAATTGTTTTATTCAAATCGAGTTCTCTTATTCTATAATAATTATCAAATAAAAACTTATCACAGAGATATAATTAACCTAAATCATCGCTGTAATAATACTGAAGTTTGGTACAACTGCAGAATAACGACAC